GCTGCTGCTTTCAGCTGTACCAATAGCTAGAAAATGGTAGAGAAGATGAGAAAATTTGGTTCAAAATTTGTAATGTTCAGATCGAGCAGCAGTGGCGAGCAGCGTGGGGCGGTCGGCGGCGCCCGAGGCGCCGTCCTCGCAGAGCACGGAGGATGAGGAGCCGACGGGGAGCGCAACAGGGAGAGCGAGGAGGCCGCCGTCGTAATCCATGGGAGCTGGTGGAGAGGCGACGGAGGCCGGCGGCATGGGGGCGGCCCTCCTGCTCCCACGTCGTCGTCACCGCCGGTCGCCGGCCGCCTGACCTCCTCTCCCACCTCGCCCCGCCGGCCGGCTTGCCCAGACGAAGGACAAATTTGAGAGAGAGAAGGAAGGGATAGAAGAGGGGAAAGAGAAATAGTGATGACGTGGTACCTGACACATAGGTCCCACGCTGACTCAGCCGCCACGTCAAATAAAACCGGGTTCAAAACCACCTAAGCAACAAAAGTAAACAGTTTTATAAGTTGAGGATGTGATATATCTGTTTTGCGGTTGAGGTACGACTTTGTAACTCGATGACAAGTTGAGGGACCTTCGGTGTACTTTTTCCCATGTCTGAATGATTGTAGTAAGTCTATTTACATCCCTTATTTCTTGGGCCGTGAATTATATGGCTGCAATAAGTCTAACTTAGTCCCTAAAGTATTTTCTTCCCTCCTCATTGAATCAGGCCGTGCCGGGCCGGCCCACCGTGCCAAGGCATCGGCCCAGGCACGGCCTAGCTGTCGGGTCGGCCCGGCCCGGACACGACCCCAATCGGGTCGCGCCGTGCCTGGGCCTATGGCCATCTATAGCTGGAAGCTTCTGCGATGCTGGGGCCAAGGTGGCGCTGGCCCCACCTGTCTGGGTCATGCCGTTCCATGAATAGTACTGTACAGAGACATCCATCCAATGATCCAAGCAGGTAAATCATTGATGTGTAGGAGTTTGATCACCATTTGTTCATTTGTTGCTAGGTGTTTTTTCATGTGAATTCTATCTTTGAGTAAATTTCATACGAACTGCATGTAAGTTTCCATAGCTACCGAGGAATTCCGGATTTATGATTTTGCTTTGTATAATTATGCACTTCAAGGCATTTTCTTATAGCTGAGAGAGCTACACAATTTGCATGTGCTACCAACCTTCCATTTCTGATTGTTTTGTGAAATTGCTAGCTGTCTAGTTTTACTCCCAGAGTTCCAGTGCTAGTGTTTGTTGAAGATTTTTGTACTGGAGTAGTATTTTGTTGTGTTGCAAAAATGTATAGTGGCTTATTTGATTTTAGGATGTTTAATTTTTTAACTTGATTCTAAGTGTCTTTACTTTGAAATCAGTATTAGTAGCTGCAATACTGTTCCAATTTTGCAAAGCTCTCTGTCTTTCATGTTCTCGAATAAAGATTTGCCTGTTCAAGAGTTTGATCGTCCATATGTATTAAGCAGATTAGTGAAAATATTTTTGGATTAGATTTTAGTGAGGACTACATGTATGCTATATGGATATAGAATAATACTAGAAAAACGTCCCGCGCGTTGCCACAGGATGTGTGAAATTGAACGATAATAAATAAATATAAAATATCAAAATATTATAAAATCATTTTCTTACTTATATATAAAATGAGAATGACGATTTGAGGATTTTAGAAAAAAAATAAATTGAACAAATGACTTTTTTCTAACTTCGATGATTTATTTTTTAGAAACTAATTATGAACATCACTTCATATATGACTAAGTATTCAATTCTCTATGATTTTGTAGGAGTTTAACATTGACACAATTAATACTTCCTCCTATTTGTGTACAATGGACATAATATATAATACAATTAATATTGTGTTTTTCATTGTACGTTTAATTTTCACTTGAGATGTGGTGTTCCAACCTCTGTTCAAACCGATCATGTTAAATTTAGGATCCTACTCTATAAAATCAAGTTTTCCAAGTTCTCCCATAATATCACATCTTTTCTCAGATTTTTTTTATACCTATACGATTTATCTGCTTAATTTCCTTCCATAAGGTTATTGTACATGATTAATATGGTTCATCTAGAAGTTTTTTTCCATAGCAATGAATGGGCGTAGTTAGTCTCATAATTGTGATAGATTTTATTGTGCTTGTTTTTGTTACTCTTGTCGTACAAATCGATATAGCAAAACCGGTTGATCATAAATTGTTATGTTTCAGTTATGAGATACAATTATTTGAAGCTCTTAAGATACAATTAAAATCTTAATTGCAATTTGTCAGAAATAACTGCACATTGCGGTAGTTTGGTGTGGCATCATCAATGCTATCAAAGCTATAGTAAGACATTTCTTCAGTGGCTATGTGGTTAATAATTTGTGTATTTATAGCAGCAGCGATCTCATCTGTTGGTGCTAAAATTGCACGCTCACATAAGTAGGTTGGTAGCTGTGATACATGTGGTATTGAACCATACACAAAAGAAATCAAACCTGCTAGGTTCCTTTCTTCAACCGGTAGTAAGAGATATGATGGAATTTTCACCCAGGTGGTGTCCGGTCGATCAGCGGGTGCACTATCATGGACAACACCATCACCCAAAAATAGAAGCCATGTTGCAAACAGCTCAAGCTCAAACCTGTCTTAATGAGAAAAGGTTGGATAATTGAGCCTCATGTTTTCAGTTAATTCAAGCACCACACAATTTTGCCATAAGTGGGAGCGAGTGATCAAGGCATTCAGGATTTGTTGCTGTCTTGCATTAGGAATAACCGGTAGAGTTTGCCTAAAGTCTCCACCCAAGACAATTGTTATACCACCAAATTGCATGTTCACTGAATTAATCATGGTTGATCGATGGCATGATATCTCTAACGGTGCGATCAAATGCTTCAAAGCAATGTTTATGGTTAACAGGTGCTTTATCCCATATAATGGGAGATGTTTGTCGAATAAATTCATCAAGATGGGTGTTCTACAATAGAGAGTGGATTTTAAACTCTCAAGTGGATGATCCCTCATTATTTACATGCCACTCAAATAGTTATGAAAAAAATTATAAAAAATGAGAAGATGTATTATTATGTGATATATCGCTCTACAAACATGCAAGTTAAAATTTAACTTTTACAAGTTAAAAAAATAAATTAAACTATAGCTAGTTAATGTATGTTCCCAGTTAAATTTGTTTTTTCATTGCGACATATAGAAGTTGTTTGTGAAGTGATCTATCACATGTTATATATCTTGTTGATTTTTCTTTTAAAAAAAATTCTTAACTATTTGAGTGACATTCAAACCTTAACTTAGAATAGTTTCTTTATATAATGGAGTTTCAAGCCAATTTATAGATAAAAAAAAATGTGAAGATGTCAGCTTATGGTAGTGTGTACCGGCGGATGAGTATTGGGCCAGTTGTCGCTGTCGGCGGCGGCGAGGTGCATATGCTGCTATGGGCTTCAATGGGCTGGTTTCATCAGAAGTTAAGTATATGTGCATGCGTCAGGAATAATTTCACTTTGATTCCCTTAACTAGTGGAAGAATCTGGTTAGTATCCCTAAACCGTAATATTGGTTATCTTGACTCCCCAACTATTAAAACATATTCGATTTGCCTCCCACCACGGTTTTGGAGGGCTGTTTGCAGATGTAGCGTCTACACGGGGTGTTGATCTGGTCTTCGTTCCACGTGATGTTGACGTGACGCTTATGTGGTATTTGAATTTAAAAAAAAACTAGGTGATTCCCTTCACTTTGTTGCGGGAATTACTTAGAAATTCTTAATATTTTTTTGACAATCAAGCTAAGAGTAAAAAAGAAAAAAGAAATGAAACATCCGGGTTGATACCCGTGCTTTAGTGTGAACATATTGATAAGTATATGTTAAATATTGTAAAAGTGATAGATAGATTTGTTAAAATATTATGCAAATGATACGAGGGGTGATGATTGATATGCTTGTATTTTGATTTGTATAATTAAATAAATTGTAGATCATGTTTATGTTTGCATGAGATTAAATATGTAATTATTGCTAGTGGATGATGATGTGGCATGGTTGCATGTTGAGCTATAGACTTAGTGTGCTTTAACTTATATAGAAAGCATAGATATGAGGGACCCATGTCATCCTCCTTCACATTCTTTCACACCTTCTTTCGTCGAGGAATTCTTCCACATGTCATCCTCATTCACCTTCTTCCGTCGAGGGAGTCAAATTGAGCCAGTCAAGATATCTGGTATAGTGATTCAGGGATATGAATGAGATTCTGCCGCTACTTAAGGCCTTGTTCGGTTTGGAAGGATTGAAGAGGATTGAAGGGAGAATAATTCCACACCACAATAGGTGTGGAATAAATCCCCTCCAATCCTTTCATCATGGGGATTAACCGAACAAGGCCTAAGGGAGTTTTTACTTTTATAGATATTGTTGGTCAAAGTAGCATTTCGAAGACGATGTTAGGGTCCAAAAATACTTATATTTTGTGACGGAGGAAGTAGATCAAAATCGTATTACAACTCAATGACTAGTGCACTGTACCCTTGTTTTAATATCCAGTAGTCCTCGGTTGCGTTCTCTTTGAGCTTAAGGCTGAAATCCGCTCTACATTTAATAAGATTCACAAAAGGTTGGATATTATTTACATTGACAATGAAAAAAAATTAACTATCATGCAAACTATTAAGATGAGGACCAGGAGATTGCATCTTTGGCGATGCGTTGTAATAGGATGGATCACGCTTCCCACATACCATAGAATTTTCGTCAGTCATTCTGCCTGATGCATAACACCACATAGAACAATGTTTCCAGTGCATGGTTTAAAAGAGTGAAGCAATTCTGCAGTCGGGGTGAACTAAGCGAGACTGAAAGCTAAGGTTGCCCAGACCACACGAGCCAACACAACAAGAAGACCCGTTGCAACGTATGAATATTTTTCTAGTAATATAACCAAACAACCACGTGAATACAAATTATATGATGATATGAAACCAAACTTTTCATTGTCACACACCCTCTAGACATAACGGACTTCCAGTGTACACACCTACTCCAGCATAGATGCTTGTTTCCGTTATATCCAAGGAAATCTTAGTTACCGGGTTATAAATCTGCACGATCGCTTTTGTCCCTGCTTGCAACCAAAACACTACCTCTCCCTCGTCCGTCACAACCAAAGGGTGCACTTTCACATAAACTCCAGTTCCAAAGAAAACAAAATCAACATTAATCCTATATTCTTTCGACCACGTCCCCTTGTCAAAATCAGTCAGAAACCACAGATCCACGATAGAAACGTGATCTTTCCAATGCGCTGCAGACAGAGTGCCCTTAAGTTGAGCTAACATGAGATGGCCGGCGAGGCCAGTGTAGTTTACTGTGCCATTAGCATCATGAAGAATCGTCTTTGTTGGCCCTTGGAGAGTCATGCTCCATTGCTCCGTTTCAAGGTCGAAGGAAGGCATGCAGCCTGTCCGTATGAGGGAGGAGGCGGCAACGCGGTTGAAGTAGGACAGGAGGAAGTAAGCCGCGCCTCTGTACACGACTCCATTGGTGAAGCTCCAATCGAGGTAGTCCGGTGGGTTGTCCGCCTTCCTCCACTGAGGTTTCGTGTCGCTGGTGGTGATGATCTCCGACACGTGGGAGTAGTCCCTGGACTCCACGATGCGGAGTAGCTTGTGCTCGCCTGTGTGAGATGTGCGGCCAAACGCGAGCCAAACACGGTCTCCGCCTCTGGTGCGACGGCGAGGTAAGTGCAGCCGCAGGGGATGTGCTTGACGACGTTGCCGGAAAGGTCGACGAGGTTGATACGTGGGGTAGGAGAGGTCTCCACGCCAACGGCGAGGAGGAGGGCGGTGTGAGGGTGGCGGGCGGCGTGCGCGGCGGCGAAGAGCGGGTCGGAGGTGAAGGACCGCCACGAGTGGCAGACGGCGCGGAGGCGGCAGATGGGCTTGGCGGGGAGGCGAAGCAGGACCTCGTGCAGCATCTCCGGTGGCAACACGCCGTCCACTGCTCCTCCGTACCCACTGCCAGGCGCCGCCGACGAGGACTTGTTACCGACGCGAGCACGAGTAGTAGGACCGCCACGACGGCGAGAGGCAGCGCGCTTGGGCATCACGGCGGCGACGGTCCTCTTCCGGCGGGGTCTAGAGGACGGCAAGGACCGGACGGGCTTCCCCATGTGTTCCTGCGGTTCCGAATTCCGACGGTGGACTGAGGGCGGCAGCGATCGAGGCTAGGGCTCAAGATAATAGCCGATCGAAGAGGAGGAGGAATTCGAACCCGGAACGACGCTCACCCGGTGACCGGCGGCGTCGGGTTTTACGAGGGAAACTGTTTTAACAGCTCGAGTGGACGTCCACCCGTTTATTGCATGTCATCTAAATGGTTATGAAAAAAATTGAAAAAATATGAACAATATATATATATATATATATATATATATATATATATATATATATATATGTAATATATCACTCCACAAACATGCAAGTTAAAATTCAACTTGTACAAATTGTAGCAAAAATAACAAACAAGACTCAAATTAATATGTATATTTACAGTTAAATTTGTTATTTTTGTTACAACTTATAGAAGTTGAATTTGAACTTGCATGTTTGTGGAATGATATATTACATATTGATCTATCTTGTTAATTTTTTTGAAAATTTTTCATAACTATTTAGTTGACATGCAATAAACGGGTGGACATCCACTCGAGTTATTAGAATCCATCTCCGGTTTTACAAGGGCTCTCTCGGCTGGGCTGGGGCCCTCTTGGCTGGGCCGAATGGGAATTAAAAGAGTGGCCCGTGACGAGGGGGAAGGATGGAAGCCCGGACGGGACAACTGTGCTGGTGCAGTGGGAAGAATAAGTCTATTTTATCTCCTCACAAAAAAAAGAGTCTATTTTGGCCTCCCTAACCTCTTATGCTTTGATCCAATCACATCCCCCAACCATAAAACCGACTGTAATGCATCTCCCAACTTCAAAAACTGATGCAAATATACTCCTTCGGTGATTTAAGAAGTGGTTTTTGCTGACGTGACAGGTTGACCGACTGAGTCAACATATGGCCCCCAGATGTCAGTGAAATGTGAAAAAACATATAGGGGGACCCACATGTAAGATATATTCATTTTCTCCTTCCTCCACCTCTCCCTATTTCCTCTCTTTCTCTGTCTCCATACCTATCGGGGTCACCGTCGGGAGTGGCGCGGTGAAAGGGAGCTGGTGGCCGATGGAGGGATGCAGAAGTCAACGATGATAGGGAAGGAGCTAAAGGTCGGTGGTGAGGCCGGGAGGTTGATACAGTCAATTAGCCGGAGAAACCAAGGGCGGTGGCGGCCTTAGATCCAGAAGAGGAGCCAAGAGAGAGGCGATAGGTAGTCGAGATAGAGAGCCCGGTGCTAGCAAGCTTGCGTTAATGCAAACGGAGCTTGAGCTCTCGCTACAGAGACAGAGGGGATCCAGGAAGAGGGCGGAGCTTGGGGTCCCACTGGTCGCAGGCTCCTCTCTCAAACCTCAGTGGCAGGGGAGCTTGGGTTCCCGCTGCCCCATCAAACCTCAGTGGTGGGTGGCAGGGGAGCTTTGGGTCCTGCTGGTCGCAGTCTCCTCTCTCTCGAGCAGTGGCCACAACAGCCTAATGGTCGACGAGATCACGGTGGCGTAGATGGAACTTGGGATCCCGTGACAGATATGGAGGGGAGCCGCGCGAGCAACATGTCATCTCCTCTCTCCCGAGTGACGCGGGCGGCAGCGCACTGGCGTCACCAAGCATGATGATGCGGCAACTGTTGTGGATCTTCAGCTCGAGGTCACGAAGGTGGCGGTAGTGCCATGGAGGTGGTCGTCAGGGAGGAGGAGCAGTTGCGTGGAGGTATCAGGGGTGGAGGCTAGCGGGTGCGTCATGGGGAAAGAGATTGGACACCTCTTCATCCCCTCCTCCTAGCAAAAAGCAGCTCCATTGTAGTAATTTCTGTTGAACTTGCCGACGAAGACTAGAGAGACTTGGCAAAGAAATCCTTGAATTCTTAGGAACCAAGAAAAGGAGGGGAATATATGACCCCATCAAAATCATTCATTAGCATCCATGAAATGGAATGTAGTAAGCAAAGGATCGGTGCTTTTCGTATTCTCTTGGGAGGAGGGTTTGATGTTGTACAACCACTAGATTGGTGAATTTATTATTAAATTGTGGTGAACTTGTTCAACGTATATTTACCCGTGATAACTCTTTTTTGAGATACAATAAATAATATTTTCTTACATATATTTGTATATAATCTCTCATATTTCTCAAACTGGGGGTAAAAAGGTCATTTCAAGTTCCTTTTGGTGACATAACACTCTAATTAGGAAAAATCTCTCACTCATATAGTGTTTGTGTAAAAAAAATGGAAGAGGGGCATCTCAATAGAGTCACTCCGTAGGAGTGGTGGCAAATACTTAAAAACCCTGTTATAGTAACAACAGGAATAGAAATAGGAGTAAAAGTGGCATTTATAGTACTACTCTTTCCGTCCTAAAATATAACAATTTAGAGGGTTTAAAATTTGCTAAAAAAATATAATAATTTCTCCACTAACATTCTCTTCCAAACCAATCACAAACCTCCATTATTCAATTTTTTCGTCTACCTTCACTTCTCAACCAATCACAATATTCCCTTATTCAATTTTACCAATTTTTTTAATAACTGTATTCAATCTTTAAAAAAATTATATATGGGAAGGGGTAGTATTATAATAGTGGCAAATAGTTAAATTTCCACAAGAATTGAATGGAGGAGAAGAGTTGTCTCCCCTGAGTTGATTTAACACCTCTCCACGAGGTAGGCAACGCGAGTTGGCAGCTAATCCTGTCAAGTATATTTTTAAGATGGACATAGGTATTAAGAAAATAGGTAGAAATAATTAGAGAAATATTGTGATTAATTGAGAAGATAAATTATTTAAGAAATTAAATAGAGAATGATTGTGATTGATTGAGAGGAGTTGGTAAATGAAGAAATAGTTTTATTTCACAAAATGTTAAAGATAGATTTATTTTGAGATAAAGAAAGTAGGATGGAGCCACTGGGAGAGCAGAAGTGCGGGTTCCAAAAATCAGATTTTTTTTATTTGCCCTCAAATTGGCTTAGATCATTTAATGAAGCAGACGACAAGCTTTTCATGGAGACTCTCCATTATATGCCCATTCATTTTTTTTCCTTTTCCAATCATTTCCGTTGTTTGATTAAGGTGCAGAAATTAATTGAACTTTCAATTTTTTTTCTGATCGAATCGCCATGTAAGTATCATATGGAATGAAGACCTAGTCAAATGGGCTTTGTATGAGCCACGTCAGTTAAAATCAGGTTCAATACTACTCGGCGGGGGACTATATTTGTACCGGTTTTAAAGTTGAGGGTACAACGATTCTGATTTTGCGGTTTGAGGATGTCTTAATTTGAAACTCAAAAAAAAATGAGGAATGTAAAGTGGACTTTTACCAGTGAAAAAAAGGTCAGTTTGTGAGGGTTGGCAAGGAGGAGGGGCGAGGGCGTATTGAACAGGTCAACAGGAACACCCTCACCCTCGCTGCCCTTCGGGTTCACCCGGCCCCGGCCCTAAAGTGAAAAACGGGCGTAAAACAACCTCTGCACCCGACACCTCCGGGGCCCTGTCACCCGACCGAGGCCCTGCTGCACCCGCATCCGCATGGCAACGACCGAGGAAGAGACGATGAGGCGTGATGCAGTGGGACGACGATGAAGAGGCGGAGCAGCGACGAGCAGGCGTGGGGACTGTGGATGGATGAGGCGGCCTGACGACAATGATGGTGTGTCGCACCGGCAGCCGGAGATGAACCGGCGCGGAGTAGCAGTAGGCGGCGTCGACAGCCCGGCTGCGTGGGGGCATAGAGGAGAAGCAGGCGGCCCGGTTGCATAGGGACGCAGTAGCGTGGAGGAGGAGTAGGGTGACGCTAGCGGTGCCGGCGACGTGGGTGAGTGAGCTTGGCAATGACATCGCGTTGGGGAACGCCCGCGCGTGCACATGCAGTAGGCGGTATAGCGCTAGCTTGGGCCGGTGGTAGCTAGGGACTAGAAAAGGGATAGGGAGAGAAGAACTTATATAATACATACTTAATTTAACCCGGTTTCATAAGTGGGAAGTGTTTACACCTAAATTTGGTACCTATGAATGAAATAGAGGAAAATTGTCAAAGTTTGAAAAGTGTTGGATTTCCTCCACAGGGCCGGTCATACCATAGGTATATGGGCGGTCTGACTGGCTAATAGAGCCGGTCTGACCGCAGGTATGTGGCCAGTCAGACTGTCAGAGTCCGAGTCCAAGTCTGTCTTCATCGGGTCTCAGGTTTCCTTACTCGGGAAGGCTATGTTTCGTATTTCCTTTGATTTCTATCCCGAGTTAGACGTGGAGAAGGGCCTGTAGAGGGCAAGACCAACCCCTATTTAAGGGACAAGGCCGGTTCATTTGTAATCCCCCGAATACAATCTCTTTTACCATGTTTTCTATTTTACCCAAGTTTTAGTCCATTTTTTTCAATTTGCGCTGTAAATCATCTGCCGCTGCTGCGAGAGTGCGACACCTCTTTGTAGGTTTGTCCTGAAAACCTTCCGTTTTGCCCACGAGACGGGTAGTTATCTTCATATTGATCTAAGTCGGTCTAGAGGCTGATTTTGATCTCTAAATCGCCTTCGCTAACCGGTTTAGCTGTTTTTCTATAAAACCCATCTTGATTTGGTCGTTTGGCTAGATCGAGGTGGTCGATTCTATATCACCTCAAGGCGTTTAGGTGTTGCGATCATGCTTGTCGACTTGTCACAAAAAGTTACCAACAGGAGGGTTAAGATTTTCGGTATGGGATCACCTATACATTTGTCAACAAATTTTGTTTTCAAAACTTGACAAATGTAATTGTAGTACAATCGTGATGTAATTACGTTGTAACTTGTATGTAACTTTCAAAAATCTCTCCGTAATCGGTGAAACGGATGTCCTGGGAACGAATCCTCTCACATGTGTGCTGCTATGCGCGCTGTGATTTTTTTCTTTCCTCACTTGCACAATTACGGAGAAACAAATCTACTGGTTCAAAACTATGTGAAAGTTACATACAAATTATATTGTAGTTACATCTCTCAAATTTTTAGGAGAAAATTTGTCCACAAATATGTAGCTAAATTGTTATGTAGTACAGTTTCGAAACCGCTAAAAAGCGGCTAGTCGCGCGTCTCCCCTCCCTCGTGGCGCGGCCACGTGGCGCGAAGAGAGGATGGCCACGGTGGAACGGCGCGGGAGCGCCACGTGCGGCACGTTTCTCCGGTTTTTCTGGTTTTTCCCTGATTTCTTTCGGCGGCAGATAAAAACGTGGCGGCGGCGGAATCAGGGAAGACGAGGAAACAGCTGCCACCGGCGGGCGCAACGCTGCCGGCCGTGACGCCGCTGGCTGCGACACTGCTAGCCGTGACGCCACCGGGCAAGGGGCTGCAGGTACAGGCACCGGCGGGCGAGGCGCCGCTGCCGGGAGAGGCGCTGGCGGGCGACGCGACGCCGCCGGGAGAGGCGCAGGCGAGCGCGGAGAATCGCCGGGCGGGAGCATTTCGTCTTCGCACGGGAACGAGAGGAGAGAGAGGCAGGAGTGTGAGATTGGGAGCGATATTCGCGAGAATACTCGCCCGTATATAAGCCGAGCAAGGAATGGGGAGAAGGGAGTTCCAAAACTTATGCAGGAGGGTAGGGGATTTGTTGGAGCTGTTTTCTAGACTAAAATCCCTCAAAATTAGTTTTGGGAATCAGATAGGTTGACTGTTGGTGATGCTCTTAGCGCGCTCGTGCAGTTTAGGATATGAATTAGACTATCCCTTTGGCCTGAAATATTTATTTGCGTTCCGCAAGTGAAATACTCCATTTTGTTAGGCCCATCAAACTAACAAGCACCAGAGCCCACCCACGATCGAGGCCAGGCACCATCCATGCCGTTGCCAAGTTGCCGTCGACGAGAGCAGAGGCCAAGGCAAAGCTGCTTCCAGAATCCAGAGTGCCACCTCCGTCTCCGAGCACGGCAGCAACGGCCACAGGAATCTGCCGTGCAGAGCACGCTATCCTCATCTATATATTTCTCTGACCACTTCGTCCTCACCCCTCCCCCATTTCAAATCACGCCCACCTCAATTCAGAACTCCACATGGCTGCCGATCCCAACCTCCCCGGCCGTGGCGGCGCCACCTCTTCCCCGATGGTCTCCAGCCTCGGTGGCGTCGACGGCGAGGGCGCGCCGCCCCCCTCTCCCATCCTTGCTGCCCTCGCTTTGTCGACTGTCTCCGCGGCGTCGAGCGCGCCCGCTACCGGCGCCACCGTTTCCCCCCTGGTCTCCAACCTCGGTGGCGTCGACGGCGAGAGCGCGCCATGAGCGCCGCCTCCCTCCCCCACTGTCCCTGCTTCGTCGACGGTGTCCGCGGCGTCGAGCGCGCCCGCTACCGGCTCCACCTCTTCCCTCTCCAGCCTCGGTGGCGTCGACGGCGAGGGCGCGCCATGCGCGCCGCCCCCCTCCCCCATCCCTGCTGGCCCCGCTTCGTCGACGGTCTCCGCGGCGTCGAGCGCGCCCGCTACCCGCGACTACCTCGGCGGGATCACTGGCCACCGCCTCGGCCAGGAGGACGACTCCGGCGGCCACGAGTACACATCCGTCTCCGGCATCCACGTCCCCAGCAGCAGCGGCGTCGCCTTCGTGTCGTTCGGCCAGTGTCCTCAGGAGGTGATCTCCACCGACCTCTGCCTCGGCTTGGGGCCCATCGCCGCCACCGCACCGCTGCAACCTCCTCCACCTCCAGCGGCGGCAGCGGCAGCGGGGTCTCCGTCTGCTACGACGCCGGAGCCAGGACATGGGGAAGCGACACCGACGACAAGTTCCTCCGCGCAGTTTCAGACGCAGGCGCAGCAGGTTACGCGCGACATGTGGATGGCCTGCGCTGCACCCAAGTCCGGCCGTCTCCCCACCGTTGGATCATTGGTCTACTACTTCCCGGACGGGCACGCCGAGCAGTGCCTGTCACGTCCGCAGGAGCCGCTTCCAGGCAGAATTTTCCTATGCAAAGTCACGGACGTCCGCCTCGGCGCAGCAGCAACAAACGAAGCCTTGGCAACCATCTCTCTCGTCCCGATCGCCGCCGACGACCATGCCTTCCAGCTTCAGGCTCCCGCTGATCCAGACCCTGCTCCAGCCCAGTCCCAGAGTCTCGTTTCATTCGTCAAGCCTCTCACCTATACCGATGTCACCAAGAATCGGTTCATGGTGCCCAAGGACGATGCCGCTGCGGGAGTTCTTCCTCACATACAGTTGAACGATGATGTGCCTCTCCGAATCAAGGACTTGAGCGGAAAGGAGTGGGCGTTTAACTACACCTGGAAAGCTCACACCCGCATGTTTCGCAATGGTTGGATGGAGTTTTCTAATGCCAACGGCCTCGTCACTGGCGACAATGCCGTGTTCATGCGTCGCGGCAACGGCGAGATGTTCATGGCGGTGCGGCGCACGCGCAACAGGCCGGCGCCCTTCTCAGTGGAGGAGGTCATCGAGGCCGTGTGGCGGGCAGCGCGCCGCGAGCCGTTTGAGGTCAGCTATTGCTTGCGCCAGGATGGGGACGAGTTCGTTGTACCACGTGACATCGTCGATGATGGCTTACGCGCCAGGTTTGCTCCAGGCATGGCTGTGAACTTCGTATGGGCTGTTGAGGATGGCAAGCTGCCAACCATCGGGCCACAGGGGGAGGTGATTTCCATAGAGAACTATGCTACGTCCATTGGCGCATAATTCAGGTTCTGAATTTTTCTTGTTTTGATTGAAGTGACTGCATGTATTGTGTTGATAGTATGATTGATCTTAATTTCTTCTGCTCATTGTTTTTTTTTTTTTGACGCAAAAGGTAGAGAGACTCTACCTTGTTACCATTGTATTAATGGTGGTCATGAAAGTAACAAAGCCAGTGGCTGGCAAGAGATTATACAGGGGGAACAAAGAGGAAGGATAAAGAAAAAGAAAGATAAAAAAGAAGGAAGGGAGAAGAAAAAGAAGAAGAAAGAACAAAACACAAAAAAAAACAAAAATAAAAAGGAAACCTAGCTAAGCTTGTCTGCCCAAGTGTTGATATGTTCGCGAAGGCTTGGCTTTAGGCGATGAACCCATAATTGGAGACTTTCTCTGATTTGATGAAGGATGTATGCAACGCTTGTTTCAGTGAGCTTGAAGACCAGCTGGTTGCGTGCTTTCCAGAGACCGTGCGAACAAGCAGCAAAGCATGCAGGGCATCCCGGTTTCTGGTGTTCTGGTAAGGTGTCCAGGATTGATTCCACAAAATCTTGTATGTTAGAGCTGCGCACGGCTGTCTCATATAGGTTGAGTTTCTTCCAGACTTCCCCTGCTAATTTGCAACGAAGAATGATGTGATTTGCTGTTTCAATAGCTGGGCAGGACATACAGTGCGGGTTGGAATCCCATTTTTTATTAACCCTGTTTGCATTGGTGTTGAGCCTGTCCCGGAATGCTAACCACAAAAAGATCCTGCAAGTGTTGGGGATAGCCTTGTTCCAGATAAGTGTTGCCGGCTGCCAAAGGATGCCATGATAAGTCAACAAGTTGTAGTTTGCTGATGTTGTGATATCTGTGGAACCAAGCAGCAGTGTTCTTTTGTCGGGGACATTCTGTTGTATGTGTTGGTCCAACAATATATCCATGAGGGACTGTAACTCGGTTTGAGCCCGGGAAGAGAGAACCGGGTGTAGATCAATTGTCCAGGTGCCGTTAGTGTGTTGGGAGGAGACTGTACAGTTGATATTTGTTGCGTAGGAAGCTAGTGTCGGATATATGAGGTTGAATCGTCCTGCTGCTGTCCAGTGGTCTCGCCAAAACTGCACTAGCTGGCCGTTCCCAATCGTTACCTTAGTGGAGGCAATAATTGGCTCGATAACGGAACAAACTGTCTTCCAAATCGGTGTTTCTGTTGGTTTTGCTTTAATAGGGATCTCATTTGCCATGTGTTGCGTGCGCAACCATTGAAAACATGGTTCTGATGAGTCTGATAACAACCTGCATCCTATCCTCATAAGTAGAGCCAGGTTGTGAGCTCTCAAGTCACCGATTCCCAATCCTCCTTGTTCCTTGTTGAGAGTGACAGTTGGCCAGGCCACTAAACATTGACCTCCTTTTACTTTCTTATCCCCTTTCCAAAGGAATGCCCTCCTTAGGCGATCAACTGCTTCGATGGTTTTGTCTGGCCACTTGATGCAGGACATGAAATAATTTGGTATTGCCGACATAACTGAGTTGATCATGATGAGTCTTTCACCCCAACTGAGAAGGCCTGGGATCCATCCTGCTATAGCCTTCGATCTATTTTGTCAATGACTGGTGCAAGCAACTTGTGTGAGATCTTGGCTGTTGTCACGCTCAGAAATTCACGAACCAGAATTTCTAAGCTGAATGTGCATTAAATCCCTGTCCAGGACCAGCTAGGGTACACAAACGACAATTGTTGACATACAAATCCACGTCTTACAAAAATATAAAGATTACAAATGCAGCGGAAAAGATAAAAGCGAGCTAAACCGGGAAGCTTGACTTCAGCAGCGGGGCGACTCCACTCCACAGGCAATCCTTGACGGCAGTGACGAAATCAACTTCGACAAGACAGCTCCCACTAGGAAGATCTTCAGCTCTGGTGTGGGGGAAAAGAGAGCAAGACTGAGTACTACCCACTGTACTCAGCAAGTCATACCGGAAGAGGAGGTATGATGCAGGATATAACCGAAGGAGGCTAAAGGTTCTTTTGCACAAAGCAGGCATTTAAAAACAGTAGTTGAAAGCAGTAAAACAGTTGTAGTAATAAATCAATATTAACCAAACACTGTCCAACGCTACACCACGTTGCAACAGGCCCAACCAACCGCCTGAACTACACCAGTTCATTAAGCTAAACTAGGGGTGAGACTAATCACGGTGAATCTGGTTGATCGCCCATAACCGCGGGCACGGCTATTCGAATAGTTTTACTCTGGCCAGAGGTGTACAACTGTACCCACAAGACACGATTCCACACATGTCGCCATGCCCCGAAGTATCACCATGATACTACAAAGGGGGAAATCGTGACCTCCACATAACTCTCCCCTAACCATCCACACCACGCTAAGGTTTCACCCCCACCCCTCAAAAGGCAGTGGGCGGTCCCCTCTTGCGCCGCGGTGAATCCGGCAACTGGACAACCGGACACCCCGGCCGACCCAACTCCATCACGCCCACCCTCGCCACCGGTGCCTAGGAAAGGGTTGAGCTATACTTCAGATCAAGCAGTTACCCACTCCCGCTTGTGGTAAGCACGGTAAGTCTCCCAGGGTTTCCCGTGAACCGGTCCTTAACTGCCATGGGTGCGACCAGCTAAACCATGCACCCACAGCCCACCATTCAGTGTATTTTAATTAACTAACACCACTGCGGTGGCACCAATCCAAAACTATGCTAATAGACAAAGTCTATGTAATAATGTGATCCCTTTTTGTGTACTAGTTAAGCTAAGCATGGCTAAGCATTTCCTAAACCAACATCTAATCATTTTGATACCCCAGTTATCAATGGCATATGGTAAACAATATATAGCAGAGTATTAGGACCCATCCCACATGACATTGTAAAAGAATGCGACATTTAATAGAAATGCGGGACATTTGTAAATTGGGTACAATATGATCAATTGTAATGCATGACTTGCCTTGCTCTCGCACTGATGAGACCACAGCAACGTCTTCGAGAAACCGCGGATCGACAAAACAGCCGAAATCTACGCGACAAACAAAGCACACAAGCAAAACATGCTATAAGACTACTGAAACAGGAAACAAAACCATTTTTAATGGATTCTTTGCATTTTTATGAATTTACTGAGACTTGAATGGACTTAAACGAAGCTCGGATGAATTACTTATGAATTTTAGAAGATAAACTGTGTTTTTACTAATAAAGAAAAAATCCTTAATCAATTTATTGTGCAATAAATCCCAGGGCTGACGTCATCCAAGGGGGGGCTGCGCTGACAGGTGGGCCCCGCTTGTCAGCGCACAAGGGGAGGAGAGGGGGCTCGGGCAAGTGGGCCCCACTGGCAGCGGCACAAGGTGGCCGGTCTACCGTGGACCGGGACCACGCGGGTGGTCCACCGCCGGTCCACGGGACCGACAGTCCGGATCGGCCCGAGGCTGATCGGACGGCGCGGGCGGCGGTTAGGCACGGCTCGGCTCGGCACAAAGCCGACCGACCGGCCATGGCGAGCGGCAGCGGCGCGTGCAGCGCAGGCCATCCACATGTCGTGCGGAGCGGCGGCGGACGGCGCGAAAGGCTGCGGCGGACGTCCGGAGCGGCGGCACGGCCAAAGGCGGCGGCACGGCCAAAGGTGGCGGCGCACGCGGGAAGGGGAGAAAAGGGAGGGGGAGGGAGTCCTCACCGGAGGGGCGGCGACCGGAGCGGGAGGGGATGAGCGGCGGCAGCGCTTCGGAAAACGGCGGACGGGAGCGGCGCGTCCTGGGAAAAGGCGGTGAAGGGGTTAGGGAGAAGAGAGGAGCCGCGGCACGGCGAGGAGAAATGGCCGGAGATGGAAACAATGGCGAGCTCACCGGCGTGTAGCGCCCGTTCCGTCGTGGCGCCTAGCGGGAAAATTATCTCTTAAAAACCCTAATTGCGAAATTTGTTTCTTTGCTTGTTGTCTAGTGTCCGTGCCATCTCAAGATCTCAATCCGCGATCGATCGTCGAGATCAATTCCGAATCCAATTCCTTCCAAATCGAATCCCTCCGCAAAAGTCTAGTTTGCCTCCCCCGGGTTCGATGGGCCGAATTCCGCTCGGCCCATCTCTTCCCCGGCCCCCTCCCTCTCTCTCTCTCTCTCTCTCTCTCTCTCTCTCTCTCTCTCTCTCTCGCTCCCCCCCCCCGGCGCGTTTCCCCCCCCTGGCTGCTCGCGCGAGCGAGAGCCGCGCCGAGCGCCTCTCTCTCCGCTCCCCTCCGCTCCGCCCGCGCGCCGCGCGCGCGTGCGCGGGAGTCGCCCGCGCCGAGCGCCCCCTCCTCTCGCGCGAGCTCCCCGCTCGCAAAGCCGGCCCCGCGCGCCGTTGCTCGCGCGCGCGCCGCGTGGTTTCCCGCCCGAGCCGCGTCGTCTGCGCCGTCCGCGTCGCCCGGTCCCGCTGCCCAGCCGCGCCGCCCGTTGCTTCCCGCGCGCGCGTGCCGAGTGGCCGACCGCCTGGTCGCCGCCGCCGTCACCCTCTGCCGCGCCAGCCCGCGCCTGTCGCCCGTGTCGTCGCGCCGCTCCAAACCATCCCACCGTCATCGCCATCGTCATCCCCCAGCCCCCGCCACTCCGCGCGCAAGCCGCCAAGAGGCGGAGGCCGAGCTCTCCCTTCCCTCTGCCGCGTCGCCCCGCTCCCTCCTCCTTTTCCCGATTCGGCAAAGGGGCAAGCCCCCTTTCTCTCCCTCCTTTTCCCCTTTCCTTCCTTTTTCCCCTCTCGCCGGCGTCACCTCCTGTCGCCGCTTTGGACGCTAGCCGGAGCGCCAGCTCGCCGGCTTGACCGTTCAATGTCGGTTTCCCTCGCCCAAACCGACAATACCGCCCATTTAAGCCCAAGCCCTCCCCCTCCAAACTCTCTCATTTTCGCCTCCGCGCCATTGCCGCCCTCTGTTTCGCCGTCGCCGATCGTCGTTGCGCGTGTCGGAGGAGCCGGCACGAGCAAGGACGCGGAAGAGGACTTCGGCCGCGCCCTCTTCTTCCTCTTCCCCGGCCCGAGGCCGGAGAGATTACTCCCGCGCCGTCGGCCTCTCGTCACAGCGCCCCTCCTCATCTCGGTGATGCCTCCCTCCGTTCTTCCCCCTCGCCCCATCTCCTCCCCCTAGCTTTCGGTAGTAGCTCGAGTAGACTCCCCGTAGCTAGCCGGCGCCGCCCCGACCGATGCCGTCGCTCGCCGTGTGCTCGCCGCCGTCGCCGCCCGAGCTCCGTAGCAACCGCACGTCGCCAGCCTCGCTCGGCGTAGCTCCGTCCAATCCGACGCTAGCATCAGATTCCCGTGGTCACATGGATGCTCTCACCGCTGGGAATCGACCCCTCGTGGCCTCGTCGCCGTTTCCCTCTTCCCTCGCCGCCGGTTGCCGCCGCCGCAATCCGCCGCCGTCGAGCAACCTCCGGCGAATCCGAGCCGTTGGCTCGTCTCCCCTCGTCCCGTGCAATCGCCCGGTGTGCTCGCTTTTGCCTGTATCGCCGTGGCTCGCTCCGCCGCTCGCCGCTGTCGCCCGCCGTCCATTCGCGGCCGAGTCGTCGTCTACCTCCCGCCGGCCCGCGTGGCTGCCACGTAGGCGCCACGTCGGCGCCACCTCGGCCGCGACCGGATAAGCCGACCCGGCCAGCCGCTCCCTCCGTTTCTCCCCGTGCGTGTGGTCCGCGGTGAGCCGTGAGGCTGCGCGTGGGCCCGCCGCATCCGTTCCTCCGCGAACCGCGCGCGTGCACCGCGTCCCAGCCCCGCCCGCGCGCGTACGCCGCATACTCCCTCCGCACGGTGAGCCGAGCCGCTGACAAGCGGGTCCCACCCGGGACCACGCGTGGTGAGCCCGGTCCACCGGCTCCCTCTCTCTCCTCCCTCCCGCGCGCGCGCGCTTGGGCCGTCTTGGGCCGGCCGGTCCGTTAAGCTTGGCCGAGCCGCCCCAAATCTCTTGGGCCGCACCCTAGCCACCCGAGAAAAGTATATATTCCCTCCCTCCTTTCTTTTCTTTTCCTTTTCCAAAAAGGATTTAATTAAATCCTTTTTCCTTTAGACCAAAAATCCAATAATCTTAGAAATTCAATATATTCCCAACCGTAATTCCGTTTGACCCCGTTCAACTTCTAAAATTTCCCAAATCTCGAGATCTATCTAGTGGCACGCTTAGAGGTCTTTAATAGGGCTTTATTTTCGCCGTTTGTTGAGTTGTCCCGTTTCGCGTGTAGTTTCGGAGCCCGAAGACCCGCAGTGCGAG